CATATTGCTATGGTGAAGGCAACCCAAAAGGACCATGCTCATAATCGGGTCAAGTACATACCAAAATAGTTATGGACTTAGACACTAATCCAACAGTCTCCCACTTGGATAAGTCTAATAACTATTCTGCATAACTTCAGAACCTGATCAGCAATCGTAGCTTTCAAAAGCCGCTGTCAACTCTGATCTTATCAGATATGCGTGTCCTTTAGATAAGGGATCATATATTCCTCCATTCTCAAGATATCGTATAGACGCGAGACATGGATTTAAATCATTCTCTCTGTCTATGTATTGTTTCCCGACATCTGATTTATGACGACTGACAACAGACTACAATTGAACACATCAACTTAGTCCCGGCTTGGCCAAGCGCTTAGGGTGTCATCACTAAATCATCGAGGGGCCCCCCTTTTCGTGGCAATAGAAGCAGATGGACTCTTTTGGAATGGCACAAGGAACTATCTCAGAATTTACATTTTCTGGATTTCCAATGTCACCATTTTCAATGTCCATTGAAGTTTGGGAGTTTGATTTGCCAGACAAATTTGCTCGATCAGCACGCCAAATCATTTCTGATTCAGCAGCTATAAGCAAATAGGTCAAATCAATGAGGGTCACGTCATGGTCCATCATATAGTACTCTCTAACGAACTCACTATATGATTCAGGAAGTGACTGAAGAACCCAGTCAACAACCAACATTTCTGAGATATCGACACCCATCATCCTTAACCTATCAATGTGTGACTTCATCTCTAAGATGTGTGCACACACAGGTTTCCCATCTTCGTGTTTACTTGCCAAAAGGGCTTGAGTGAGCTTGAACTTTTCAATCCTTTGAACTTGTGGCTTAGGGAGATTAATTGGAGGAGGTGGAGGAAGTGAAGCATGACTCTCATTTCCTTGATCGTATCGTGGAACGTCATCTTCATTTGGAAAGCTTGTTCCAAGTGACTTGGGAAGACCATTGTAAGATTTAGACATCTACAAAATGGGAGAAAATTCAAGTTAGTTGATAAGAATCCTTGATGTAACACCCAAATGAAACATCAAGGCTAGGATCCAACACAATACTCTACAACCTAGAAGAGGGATGCCGTAATCTAGTTGCAGAATATTTGAAGGTAGGTAAATGACGATTTACCAATTTCCACCATGAAAAACAAAAATGAAGTTTAAGTTTTAAAATGAATTGAAACTCCTAGATCTTTTGAGACTCATTGAACTTTTCAATCGCATGTTTAATCTCGATTATGCCCTTTTATTTGTGACTGGGATGCCGAGGATCACAAATAAGGTGTGAATAACCATACGAATCACGTGGTGCACCCAATTGCTACTATCACCTAATCAATGTGCCGGTTAGCCACACACGCTCCATTGATCTATGATAAACATCGAGCCACCCTTCGCCACCAATGTCAATCCCAAATTAGTGTGTCGGTTAACCACACACGCTCCAGTAACGTTTGACAAGGGTACGAAGTGTAATTCCATGGACTAGCATACAATTTCACATTTTGCCTAAAGTAACTAGAATTTGGGAATTTGTATGTAGTTACTTTGTACTTCATTATACTTTTAATGGAAGGCTTCGTGCTATCCTACCCGTTCGGCTAACGACCCTCCACTAGTCAAGAGTGCGGTGGGTAAGAGTGGATACCCATTCAATCGCCATTTTATAGGCAATTTCCTTAAACACCCCTTATAGACCAACTTTGTGAATGAGGCCTACTAACGGTAAGACTGACTGTTTACTCATACATATATAATATTAGACTTTTAATTTTATATATATATTGTATAGGGTGTATTTTACACTTTAAAATACTAGGTGGTTCAATTTAATAAATTATACTTTTAATTTAATCAAATGTAAACCAAAATTTTATGGAATTATTAAATCTCTTTTAATTATACACTTTAATTAATTAATAAAACCATAAGGGTGTAATTTGAACTTTTTCAAAAAATACAAGGGTTAGAATTTAACATTTCAAAATTAAACTTTTAATTAACTTTTAAATTCCAAAACTTGAGGGCAAGTTTTGAAACATTTCAAAACATTAGAGTTTAGAATTTAAATATTTCAAAATTAAACTTTTAATCAAAAATTTAAATTCCAAAACTTGAGGGCAAGTTTTGAAACTTTTCAAAACATTAGGGTTTAACTATTCAAATTTCAAAAACAAAAATTTTAAGTTCAAATTTAAACTATAAAACCTAAAGGGGAAAATTGAAACTTTTTCACATGATAATTCAAATCTAAATTACAAATAATCAATCTTTATCTAATAAAACAAAAGATTATCTAAATTTTGACAATTATCTTCTATTTTGGTAAGGATAATCACCCAATATCAATAAAAATCGGATCTTATGAATTAAAAACGTTTATGGTAAGTATCCCAAGCCAAAACAGCAAGAAAATCGCCAAAAAACGCTGCCAGATCCATGGACTCGCCGAGTCGGCCTGACTCGCCGAGTTCATCCACTGACTCACCGAGTCGGAAGGCAGAGGGCAAAAAAACTTCGTTTTTCATGCAATTTTCGATCAAGTAAGCATCAAATTCACTAACAAACAGCCCTAGGCTCTGATACCACTGATGGGTTTCGAGCAATACATCAATCCTATGGTGTACATGCAAACCCTAATAGCTTTGGATCTAGTTTGTCTAATGAACATGCAATTGATAATCCAAAGCCATAAACCCTAGATCTAATAAACTATAACTGAAATTAGGGTTTAGATCTTACCTTTGATTGTTATATAGTAATAACAATCAATCCTTGGCTTCAGAAAGCTTAGTGCCTCAAGTGTTGCACCTCTAATGGAGTCACAAACACCACTAAGCAACTTGGATGACGAGGGAGGAGAGAGGAGGCACCAAAAACGGCTGGAAACCCTAAAGGAATAGTTCACCACGTTTTTGGGGCTTAAGGGTCCTTTATATACATGTAGGCTATTAGGGTTTACAACTAGGAAATCCTAATCTGACTGCTTAGGCCTTAAGCAATCCAATGGACCATTCCAGAAGGCCCTTGGACGATTTCTTTATGGACCTCCATATAGAATTCGTCCATTGACATCTAATGAATCCAAAGCCCAACTTTGTAACTATCTTATAATTACAATATCAGTCCCCTTAATTTAATTAATCTCTTTTAGCCACAAAATTAATTCTTGACTAATATTAATTAAACTATATGATTTCTCCTTTAATATATTATTCTCATAATATATTAATAAATCATAATTAAACCTTTCTCTCCTTAATTCATCCTACATATTGCTATGGTGAAGGCAACCCAAAAGGACCATGCTCATAATCGGGTCAAGTACATACCAAAATAGTTATGGACTTAGACACTAATCCAACAATTAACGGGTAAAGTTGGAAACTTTACCCTTAAAAGGACATTTTCAGTGTATAGGTGGAGTATAGGGCTTAGATCTGAAGAATAAAGGCTTAACCCATTAAGATGAAGCAACAGACTGAAGAACTCGGCGAGTCCATAGAGGAACTCGACAAGTTGGGACGAAGTGTCCCGATCCTGTTAAAGGCAAAAACTCGACGAGTTCAAGGATGACTCGACGAGTTGACTAAGAGAAGTCTCGATGCTGTAGATAGGAGGAACTCGACGAGTTGTGAAAGAACTCGTCGAGTGGGATCACGATTTCAGGGTTCATGATTCATGGAACTCGACGAGTTGATGAACCAACTCGACGAGTTGAGTTAACCCAGGATGTTGACTTTGACTTTGACCAAGGTTGAGTCGTGAAGGGGTTTTGAGTATGAAATGTTATCTAAGAGGTTGTTCTGTATAGGGTATGAGTAGAGCTGGTTGCGAAGCATGGATTTTCAGCTATTCACGACATTAAGGTGAGTTTCCTTCAGTAGGAACGGGTCTAAGGCACCAAGGCCGACCCGTATATATGATCTGATTAGTAGCTGAGTGTGGGCGGGACCCGTATCTCATAGATAGCTGAATATGGTACAAATTTATAAGTTTAGTTATACTTGATGTCCGTGTGATACCTGTATATATGTTTATGACTAGCTGAGTGTGGGCGGGGCCTGTAACTCATAGGAGCTGAGTGTGGGCGGGGCCCGTATCTCATAGTAGCTGAGTGTGGGCGGGGCCCGTATCTCATAGCAGCTGAGTGAGGGCGCGACCCGTATCTCATAGTAGCTGAGTGTGGGCGGGGCCTGTATCTCATAGTAGCTGAGTGTGGACAGGGCCCGTATCTCATTGAGTGTGGGTGGGGCCCGTATCTCCTAGTTGCATGTTATGTGTATGGTATGTGGTAGTTTGGGGAGACTCACTAAGCTTCGTGCTTACAGTTTTCAGTTTTGGTTTCAGATACTTCCGGTAGCAAGGGGAAGAGCTCGGGATGATTGCAGTGCGCACACCATTTGTTTAGCCTGAGATGTTTATACTCTGATATATTTTGACAGATATTATGATATTTTGAGATACACGACTTATGGTTTTTATATGATGTTTGGGTGTCTATGGTTTTATTAATGAATTAAAATGAAATTTTTGGTCTCTATTTTTGGGATGTTACAAGTTGTTATGCTATTTATATGTGACCGAGGCTGCTGATAACCAACCAGGGTTGCTGATAACCCACAGGGCGTGCTATTAGCTCATTGGGACTGCTGATACTCCTCAAGTTGCTGATAACTCATAGTTGTTTATTTATGCTGTGTTGTATGTGGTATCTTGGGGAACTCACTAAGCTTCATGCTTACATTTATTGATTTATATATGACATGTACTTCCGAGGACCGCGGGAAGGCGAATGTCTAATTGTACACATGCGCTGAGAGATTTATTACTGGGACATGTTTATGAACTCTGATATTTGTGATACTGGTTGTTTTGGGATAATTATGTAATTGATAACTTGGTTGTGAAACTCTAATTTTGATAAATTAATAATGAAAAATTTGGTTTAAAATTTGAGGTGTTACAATCACTATAGAGTGATGTGCTATTGTCCACAGGAGATGACATTTTGTCAAATGTTAGAGTTTATAATGTATTTTGCAAGATTTAGCACATCATCATAATTTCTTATTGCTTTCCTTACTCCTATCAAAATTCAAATTAGTCTATAGAATCATAAAACAGGAGTACAAATAGATACCATCACTATAACCAAATTGTTCCATAATGCCATCTAACTTATGCATTGAAAACTCGTTATTATCTAACAAGTTTATGAAGTTATGTTTGCCGACTTCGAAGGAAGTTTGATGTGAAGTTTAATCGAAAACATGTTTTTATGACACAATCAAGAAACAAACGAGAAAAACAAAATACATAATCCATGTTAGATTTTAGCACTACAACCAATGTTCGAATGATGAACATTCAACAAATAGATTTGACATCAATATATGCACATAAGAACGTTTTGGTTTTTCTTATACATATGCTTATTTTCAGAGACCAAAATGACAAACATGAAGAAAATACATAGTTTAACCTTTTTTATTTCTCTTTTTTACACACTTACAAAAAATGTTGAAATTAATTTATTAAATATTAGAGTCCGAAAATAATGATATTTAAAGCATAAACGATAAACGATTTGGAGATTTAGTGATTTACCGTTAGGTTAAATGTTTACTCGAAATTCAAAATCCCCCAAAAACCCCTCTCGTGAGTCGTGACTCACGACGTCTCGCTGATTCAATCACAATTTCAGTGTTGAACAAATTTGAATCTCTCTCTCTCTCTCTCTCTCTCTCTCTCTCTCTCTCTCTTATTCACACAGACACCAGTAGTCGCATCTCTCGACAAAGGGAGTCATTCAAGAACATATTCATCTTTCAATATCTACTTTACTCCATTATTCGAGTGTCTTTGTATCTGGTGAGGAAAATAACTTGTTTTATCTCAAATTGATTCGGAAACCCGGGCTTCAGAGGTCGCTGCCTCCATCTTCAACTAATCATCGTGGATACAGGTATTGGGTTGTTTTTTTCTTTCTAACTGAATGTAGGAATTTTATGTATAGGTTCTTGATTAATCATTACCGATTTATCGAGTCTGATGCTTGATGAATTTGGGGTTTCTTTCGGCGTGGAAGGGAAATGAGAGTATGTATCGATGATTCGGTACCCAGTCACCCTCAGAGCCTTCTTTTTGCATGTTCATATGAGATGTTGGTTGCGTTTTATTTGTGCTTTACTATAGCAGGTTCCTATTTGAGCTCTGCCGTTTGTGTTTTGTTCTGATGGACTATTCTCATTAGGTTGTTCGTCTGTGTCTTAACCGCGAACTTTCTAGCTGCCTTTACATATTCTATTTAGGGTTTTTATTGCCACTTTTTGTTCAATTACTAGTTTTTCCCTTTGCTTTCTTCTTCCCCTTTTTGGGTTAAGTATTTTTCATAGGTTATCAAGTTAATAATGACATATTGGTCGGTTACATCATATCTTTGCCTTCATAGCTGTGTATTAAAATGCTAATGTATCTGATTTGTGTTATCAATGGGATCATGTTACTTTCTTACATTTTAACACTTTCACACCTTCAAATCTAACAATTCTGTATTTCCAGTGTGCAAATTTGGATCTATCTTTGTGAGTTTGCAATGGAGGGTGTGTTAATTGACTGTGTACAGAACAGTCTGCGACATCTATTATATCGCAATGCAATTTTCATGTGTGAAAGGCTTTGCTCTGAGTTTCCCTCAGAGGTATGTATCTTTTTCAAATTCACCCTTTTTTTTGAGATTGAATATTTCTATATCTTTGATTATAATTGTAAAGTTTTCTGTCTTTAAACCACCCCAAAATAATGGCTTTTTGTAACTAGGCACTATTAGTATCTGGATTCTGGTATCTCATTTTGTATCAAGTTCTTTCTTTCTTGCTAAATTGTGGATTTTTTGCAGGCAAACTTGCAATTGTTAGCTGCATGTTACTTGCAAAGCAATCAAGCTTACTCAGCCTACCATATTTTAAAGGGTATGTGTTACCTGTCATTTTTCATGTTTAAAGTATTTTCATGGCATCACCATATTATTCTAGTTCAAACTTAAGTCTTCTGTCACTTTTCCTTTTCCTCTTAATGCATACTCCACTAGGTAGTTTTATTCACATCTTTAAATCTGGTTTCATCAAGGTTACTATTCTCTTATTTGGATACTTTTTGTTAGGTTATTAACTGTTATCTGATGAAGGGAAACTTATTATAATTTCTTGTTTTCCTTAATTATTGTATTTGAAGGAACACAAATGCCTCAATCCAGATACTTGTTTGCAATATCATGCTTTCAAATGGATCTCCTAAATGAAGCTGAAATGGCATTATGCCCTTCTAATGAGCCAAGTGCAGAGGTATCCACTGATCTTTTGTAACATACATTCAAATTTTGATGTTTTCCATTTACATTTATCTGATTGATGATGTCATATTCAAGCACTTGCTCATTATTTTTTTTTCTCTCTAGGTACCAAATGGTGCAGCTGGTCATTATCTTCTTGGGCTCATATATAGGTATATATATACCATAATTAACTTATTAAACATTTAATAAACTTATTTTTGCTCAAAAAATAGAACAACTGAATGAGGGCAAATTTGTAAGAAGTTGGACTTGCTAGGGAAAGCCTCATTTTCCTGACTTTCTGTATTAAGTTCTTTCTGCATTAAGTCAAAAATAGTTTGTCTCATTCTGTATTATAACTTATGCATTTGGTTTTTCTTATATTAATATTTTTTAAACTCATGGGATCATAATTTCTTTCAGATACACAGATAGAATGAAAAGTGCTGCTCATCAATTTAACCAGGCTTTATCACTAGATCCTCTCTTGTGGGCTGCATATGAGGAATTGTGTAAGTTAGGTATGTCATTTAATAAGCAGGTTTGCAAAATAAAAGTTACAGTGTTTTTTTTTTTTTTTTTTCTTTCCTTATTAAGTGTTGTCTGGATAAATGATGTTTAAAAAATATTAAAAAAAAATGATGGAATACTTGGGGAAAGCCTCCTTTTGTTGACTTTCTCTATTAAGTCGTTCTTTCTGCATTAATTGAAAATGAACAATCATATTTATATATAGCTAAGTGCTTGTTTCTTTTTCTTTTTCCATTAAGTGCTGTGTTTATAAATGATTTTTGTCTAGAGTTGGTGCTGGATGAATAAAGTCTGTTTCTTTTTTGGACTGGATGAGTCGTCTGAAGAACGAGTGTAAATGACCATTTTGCCCTTCTGTCAAGAAATGATGCTAAATACAAAATGACCAATACCCATTATTCATTAACGTGTGAAATGAGTGTACATGAATATTTTACCCTTCTGTCAAGAAATGTTGTGAAATATAAAATGACCATTACCCATTAATGTCTGAATGAGTGTAAATGACCATTTTGCCCTTTTTTCTATAAATGATGCAAAATCGAAAATGACCATTTTCCTATGAACGTCTGAATGAGTGTAAATGACCATTTTACCCTTCTGTTTCCAGAAATGATGCTAGATTAAAAAAAGACCATAATGGCCATAAAAAAAATGAATAAGAAACATAGCCCAAGTCCTGTTCCCATTAGATCTGTTAGTATCCAACTTCATCTTTTGTGTGTGTCTTATTGATTTGGAGAATCCTATGTTTCAGGAGCTGCTGGAGAAGCAACATCAGTCTTTGGGGAATCAGCTTCTGAATGCATTCAGAAGCAGTACATGAGTCATGACGTGGGCCCCCCTGGGGATGATCATAATCTAGTTTCTGGGAGACAGCTGGCAGAGAGTGTTAGTCCAAGGCAACTGAGACTTTTACATGGAAATAATGTTAAGGATAATTCCTTAAATCATAATGGTGCTGCTTTTGCTGGAAATGCTGCTACTCAACCCAATAATGGTGTTCATGCTAACATATCATTTTATAATACCCCTTCCCCAATGGCCACTCAGGTATATAACTAACTTATTTATTTAATTATTATTTCTTCTTATTTTCCACTTACTTTTTCCATCTTTTCTCTTGGATCACACTTATCTTGTGAGTTATCCAATGTGAAAGAAAATGAAAAAAGTTACGATTTTACTCTCTATTTAGTCATGATTTCTATATTAAATAAAAAAGAAACTCATTTTTTTTTTTTTTTTTTTTATAGTTGTCAGGTGTGGCCCCACCACCTATATGTAGAAACATGGTTCCAAATGGTCCAAATTCAAGTTCTGGTGGTGCTGATGCCTCTCCAAGGTCAACTGTCAAATCCACCATTCAAGCTCCTAGAAGAAAGTTTGTTGATGAAGGGAAGCTAAGAAAGGTTCCTTTTTTTTTTTTCATAATATCTAACTCTCTTTATAACTATATACATTATAATTTGTATGCATTGTAGAAGGTTTGTGATAATAAATAGGTTTTTATCAAATAAAGTTAGTGGAAAATCTGATGTGGATGCATTAAATACATCCTGAAACAGTCAATTGTTTTCACAAACAATCAACAGACTTAAAATAATGCAAAACTAATTTTAATGAATTTATTTATTTTCAGATATCAGGAAGATTATTTTCTGATTCTGGTCCTAGAAGAAGCACTAGACTTGCTGGAGAAACTGGATCTGTAGCAACAATTATAACTGGAAATGGAACAACAACAAATCATCACTCTTCTAAATATCCTGTCACTTCTAAGATAACCTCTGCAGCATTTCGTGCAGTAACTGTTAGAAAAGAAAAATCTTGGTCTTCTGAATCTTTTAATGAAGGTCAACAATCCAATCCTACTTTCATTTATTAATTTATTTTTGAAAATTACACATTATCTTATATATATATTATATAATTTTCTCAGGGATTAGGTCTGAGGTTGATGACACACGTTCAAATGCTACAACAACTTCTGGTTCATCTCCTTCACCTGATACTGTATCTGTATCTTGTGATGCTTTAATCATGTCAATGGGTAGTAGGGCTTCCATGAGTGTATCAAAAATTGCAACTGGTGCTTCAGATGTATTGTCTCTTCTTAAAATCCTTGGGGAAGGTTTTAGGCTTTCATGTCTATATCGGTGTCAGGTAGTATGAACTATGAAGAACTAACAAACTTTTCAAGAAATAGCAATGTACTTTTGTTACATATTTATGTAGAATGCTGGAATAAAAAGAAATGAAAGTAAAATACTTAAAAAGAAAACCTTTTTTTTAGTGATGTAATTTGCTGATGACTGAGTTTTGTGAAACAGGATGCACTTGATGTGTTTCTTCAACTTCCTCATAAGCAATATAACACAGGCTGGGTTCTCTCTCAGGTAAATTATTGTTTATATAATTATATATATCATTATATAAGCATCCTTTTATAAAGTTTAGAATTAATGAATATCTGGTATTTTGTTCTATGTTTTTTTTTTTTCTTCTGTAAATAGATTTTAAGTTGATATTAATGGAAATCCCACTTTGGGGGGTACTTTGGTAATTTTAACCGCAGGTGGGAAAAGCTCATTTTGAATTGGTTGATTATCTAGAAGCTGAGCGTGCCTTTAGCAATGCCAGATTGGCTTCTCCTTATAGCTTAGAAGGAATGGATATTTATTCTACTGTTTTATATGTAAGTTCTCATTGGTATTATAACACTATAACTAGACTCTCAGAGGGCAAAATGGTAATTTTCCATTATCTTTGGTCTCGTATGTTGTAGCACCTGAAGGAGGATATGAGGTTGAGTTATTTGGCACAAGAGCTAATATCAACGGATCGCTTAGCCCCTCAATCATGGTATAACCATTTTAAAAATATACAAAGTCGAGTTATTTCTCTAAAGACATTTTTTTATATTTTAACTACTTTTTTTTTAATATAAATGTGACAGGTGTGCAATGGGAAATTGCTATAGTATGCAAAAAGACCATGAAACCGCTCTCAAGAACTTTCAACGTGCAGTACAACTGAATTCAAGATTTGCATATGCTCACACCCTTTGTGGTCATGAGTATGATTTTTTTTGCTTCTTTTTTCATGTTGTGAAATTTGTTTTTTTGGATAGTAAGGGTAAAATGGTCATTTAGTTTTTGTTCAGACGCTTTATTCATTCTAGAAAAGAAACAGACCTTATGTATACAACACATTATCCAAACAAACATCACTATCCATTCAACCAACGACATAATGGAAAAAAATTAAACTCAATGTCCCGTTTGTGCAAAAGACGAAAATGCCCTTACCCTCATTATAAAAAATATCCATAAAAGCTTGTCCTGTCCCATGTACAATTTACAAATGCAGCCTTACATCACTTTTTTGATATGCATTTATCTTTCCTTACAGATATGTGGCATTGGAGGACTTTGAGAATGGAATAAAAAGTTACCAAAACGCCCTTCAAGTTGATGGAAGACATTATAACGCATGGTATGGCCTTGCAATGATATATCTTCGCCAAGAAAAATACGAATTCTCAGAACATCACTTTCGAAAGGCTCTCCAAATAAACCCCCGTTCTTCTGTCATAATGTCTTATTTGGGAACCTCATTGCATGCCTTAAAGGTAAATAAATAAATAATACATTTAAAATGTTACTAACATTCAAAATTAAAATTAATTATTTGAATCTTTATAAAAACTATCAGAGAAACGAAGAAGCATTAGAGATAATGGAGAACGCGATAATTGCGGATAAGAAGAACCCTCTCCCTATGTATCAAAAAGCTAACATTCTTGTGAGCATGGAAGATTTTAATGGTGCTTTGAAAGTTCTAGAAGAGCTTAAAGAATACGCGCCTCGTGAAAGCAGTGTGTATGCATTAATGGGAAAGATATATAAACGCCGCCTTATGTATGACAAGGCCATGCTTCATTTCGGTCTTGCGTTGGATTTAAAACCTTCCGCGACAGATGTCGCTACTATTAAGGTAACCTACTTTTCTAATATAAGTAGTACAGACCTGACGCATTGCGTCAGGCCTGGCATCAGGCCTGACACATGTCACAACATGTGTCAGACCTGATGCATGGCACTGCACTATCTGATACAATTTATTTGTTTCTGATAGGCTGCCATCGAGAAATTACATGTACCGGATGAGTTAGAAGATAATTTATAGAGGTGTCATTCAAATGCAAGTGCAAGTCAAGACCATTTGTAAAATTTATGCGACAAGGACCTTTCACGCCAAGTGGCACTCACAAGGAATTATGGAGTCCGTTTCTGGACGAAAATGCCCTCGTTCTTTAGATGTTAGATAAATTGTAATGACAGAGGATATATATATGTTAGTGGTGACGGTTTATAGTTTGATTATATGTATGTACCGGTTTAGTTGAAACCGCCAACAAAAGGTATGTACCTTTATCTTATTGAGTGTCTGGACAAGCTTTTTAGGGTTATTTTTTAATACTGGGGATAAGAAGGGCATTCACGTTTTTTGCGCTGATAAAACATTAAAATTTTGTCTTGAAGCGAACAATGTGTCTGGTTATCTTTTATCTGTTCAATCTACTCATGCGTAATGGTATTTAGAAAAATTTAAATAGTCATAAATGGGTAATGAATTATTTCGTTTGCACAAAGCACAATTGATTTAAAATTTTATTGGAAGATAAGCAACTATTTATGATATTTTATTTCTTAACTCAATGGTATTTAGAAAAATTTAAAATACTACATCAACCATTTGCGACAAACTCTTTTTGAAAAATAAAGGATAAGGTTGTTGGGGTTTTTTGTTAGTTAATTTCTTTTTTATTTAATTTTTATATCAGACGTTTGGATGACTAACCTACGACGTTGAAATGACTATGACGGGGTTGCTTTATGGTTGGTGTGTATTTTTCAGAACATATTAATGTCCAAATAAGAAAAGATAGATGTGCAAATGGTATTTAATCACGTTTTTTTTCTTCCTATGACCCAATATGGTGGCGGACAGTGGCGGTGTTTAAATTTGACCTAATATTGTGGCATGTGAATCAACTTTTTCTTATATGATCTTATAATGATAAATGAGGGAATCTTGATTTAGCAAAACCTCCTTTTATTTGTTAAAAGTTTGTTTTGGAGTTGGTGTGTTTGTTTTTATGTATGTGTGTGTAACAATCTTGACAAACCCCCATAACCATGTTCATAAAAATAAACTTACTTTGATTTACATAAATATAAATTATTAAGATGTTCAATCAAGATCTTTCAATTAATAATTACAAAGATATAAATAAATGTAAACGTTAAGCTGTTAAGGTATAAAAGATTAGAACACAATGATTTGTAGTAAGTGGACTGTATATCGAGAGGTAATCCGCTTCGATGCGGAGTCTTTTGAGAGGTTATGACAATTGACAATGTAGAACTTTAAAATTGACCAAAATTGTATTTCAAACTTTTCAAACTTGAAAGCATATAAGTGTCGTCACATTCTCTATTATATATAGAAACTCTATGTGACACCCAAAAATTCAAGTCAATTTAAACTTTTAAAAACATTTTAATCCATTAAGTCATTACATAGTTTGTTTTCAAAATACAGTTATCAGAGTATCCCAGTATCAAATCATAAAAGTCATAACAGCGAGAGGAGCGGTACGATCATGCCTTCGCCTTCCCGCGATCACCAGAGGTACCTGAAACAACAACTGAAACTGTAAGACTGAAAGCTTAGTGAGCTATCCCCCAAAATACCAACCACATAACCATGCCATATAAACATATAACCACACAGCAAGCATAATGAGCCTTCAGCCTGACTGGACCGCCTCGCAGGCCTTCAGTCTATCTGGACCGCTCTCCGAGCCTTCGGCACGTCGAGACCGCCTCGCGGGGCCTTCAGCCTATCCGGACCGCTCGCCAGGCATTCGGTCTGACTATCATACCCTCTAGGGTTTTGTAGTCTATCCGGACCACCCTGGGTATGTTGGCCTTCAGCACAAAGCAGGACCGCCTCAACCCAACACCCAAATCAAACAACATGTGCATACACATTCATAGGCTATCATAATAACAGACAAACCGATCTAACAGATCACATAGCATAGCAACGTCCTAAACCAAGACACCGACCTACCCAGTTCATATCATAGCATAATCCTGTAACTAGGATATCGACCGAACCCGATCACTAAACATAAGCATATCACCATCCTAACTAACAGGATGCGAAACAATGCACATATTATGTAATAATCCAAATACAAATCCATAAGGACCGACCTTGGTGCCTTAGACCCTGTTGATATAGTGAGGATAACTCACCTTGCAACTGACGTCTGAAACTAGAAAGCTCAACTCCCGGATCTCCAACATGAACTCCACCACCTATAGTTACCATAAAACCCTTTTTCATAAATCTCCAAATTACCAGAATACCCTCAGAAGTCAACTGGTCAACTCTTGGTCAAAGTCAAAGTCCACAGTCAAAGTCAACAGTCCATGTTGACTCGACTCGTCGAGTGCAGTTCACCGACTCGTCGAGTCCTTCCTGAACTCGAGAAGTCGTGAAATCCTTGATTGGCTCGTCGAGTTCCCCTTTAACTCGCCGAGTTCATACGTGTCCAAGAATTGGGAGAAACCCTAGCCGACTCGCCGAGTCTTCGAACGACTCGCCGAGTTCAAGGCAATCTTCAACGGACTCGCCGAGTTGTTCATCAACTCGTCGAGTTCATGCCCATCTTCATATGACTCGCCGAGTCGACCTTGCGACTCGCCGAGTCCCTTCAATCCTTCATCCATACAGATGCTTTTTAAGCCATGCTGAGGCTCCAAATTGTAGATCCAGCTTCCCAAGACATGTTTATCACGTAAAGTTGCAAACTTTACGTGCATGCATGGTGATAATGACCTAAAACAAGCTAAAGAAGGGGTTCTAGGCAAAAGGGCTTCACCAACATGCTAAAGACTGAGACTTTATGATGATAAGGGCCAAGATGAGCCTAGATCTGAAGTTGCAACTTCAGATCTTGGTTCATCATTCGAAATGCAACGCCAAATGCCCAAAATGGTCCCAAAACTCAATATAGAAAGGGGGTTTAACTAGAAGAAGCTCAAGGTGATGACTTGATACCTCCAAATGGATGATAAACTGAGGTAGACTTCAGATCCCCAACTGTTCCTTGTTCAAAACTTCTTGGTCTTCAAACCTTTCCTCACCAAATCCCTCTTCCAAGCTAAGAAGCACACCAATATAGAGAACAACACGAATTAGGGTTTCTGAATTCGAGGGGAGCAGTAAGAGAGGCTAAGGGGGGATAAGTGATCCTTAAATAGGGTGCAAACCCCTGAAATTTAGGGTTTCATCACTTTCATCTGCCAGCTCCTACTCGTCGAGTCCCCTATTTGACTCGGCGAGTAGGTCACTTGAACACGCGGACCAACCCGCTGCTATTCGACGAGTCATAGCGCCAACTCGTCGAGTAGACCTTCAACGTGAAGTCTAAAAGGAAATATATTAATAATACCTGACGGTTGGGATGTTACAATTCTCCTCCACTTGACTTAGACTTCGTCCTCGAAGTCAGCTGTAGCGAATAACTCAGGGTAATGCTCCAGCATCTCAGCCTCTGACTCCCATGTCCACTCGGATCCCCTTCGATGCTCCCATTGTATCTTTACCAACGGAACCTCCTTGTTGCGCAGGACCTTCACTTTCCTTTCCAAAACGACAATCGGCCTCTCAATATAATTCAGACGCTCATCAACCTGAATGTCATCCAGTGGCACCACTGCCTCCGGGTCCACAATGCACTTTCGCAACTGCGAAACGTGGAAAGTACTGTGGATCCGACTAAGCTCCTACAGCAGCTCTAGTCTGTAAGCCACCTTGCCAACCCTGGCAATGATCCTGAACGGCCCAATATATCGGGGAACCAATTTTCCCCTCTTCCTGAAGCGGATCACACCCTTCCAGGGGGAGACCTTCAGGAGTACCATGTCACCGACCTGAAACTCTAGCTCGGACTGGCGTCGGTCAGCGTAACTCTTCTGCCGACTCTGAGCGGTCTGCAGCCACTGTCTAACCTGCTGAATCTTCTCGGTAGTCTGCAAGACCACCTCCGTCCGACCCATCACCCTGTGACCAACCTCACCCCAACAAACCAGGGTGCGACATCTTCGCCCATACAACAGCTCGAATGGCGGGGCGCCAATGCTGGAATGATAGCTGTTGTTGTAGGCGAACTCTGCAAGCGGTAGGTGGGAATCCCAGCTCCCACCGAAATCGATAATACACGCCCTCAACATATCCTCGAGGGTCTGAATGGTCCGCTCGCTCTGACCATCAGTCTGCGGATGGAAGGCTGTGCTGAAGTGCAACCGTGTGCCTAGCTCCTCGTGAAACTTATGCCAGAAGCGGGAGGTAAACCGGACATCCCGATCAGAGGCGAGACACGATCTCGCGAACGTACATATGGCCAAGAAATGGGCACTCTTGGTCAATCGATCCACAATGACCCATATAGCATCAAACCCCTTCGCCGTCCTCGACAACTTGGTAATAAAATCCATCGTGATCTGTTCCCATTTCCACATGGGGATCTCCAGGGGCTGCAGCTTGCCATGCGGCCTCTGATGCTCGGCCTTGACCATCCTACAGGTCAAGCACCTCTCGACGTACCAAGCAATTTCTCGCTTCATGCACGACCACCAATAGCTCAAACTCAAATCCCGGAACATCTTGGTGGCCCCGGGTGAATAGAGAAATGAGACTTATGAGCCTCCTCCATAACCGTCTGCCTAACCCCGCCAGACATCGGAACCCAAACTCGACCGTATCGGGTCAATAATCCCCGACTATCATGCTCAAACCGTGTATTCTCACCCTTGATCCTCTCCAGCTTCCAATTCTCCGGTCGCATGCCCTCAACCTGGACATCTCTGATAAGACTCACAAGCGGGGAGTCCACTGCTAACCTCATACATACCGCTGGGGTGGAAGACCCAGCTGACTTGCGGCTCAAAGCATCCGCAACCACGTTCGCTTTACCAGGGTGGTAAAGGATCTCGCAATCGTAGTCCTTGACTACATCCAGCCACCTGCGCTGCCTCATGTTCAGGTTCGTCTGATCCATGATATGTCTCAAGTTCTTGTGATCCGTGTAAATGGTACAACGGACCCCATAAAGGTAATGTATCCATATCTTGAGGGCGAATACCACCGCCCCCAACCCCAAGTCATGCGTAGGGTATCTTGTCTCATGCGGCTTCAATTGCCGCGACGCATAAGCTATCACTCGTCCTTTCTGCATGAGGACCGCCCCTAACCGTGTGATGGATGCATCACAAAACACCAAAAAATCCTCAACTCCCTCTGGGAGTGTCAAGACTGGGGCCTCGCACAACCGCTGTCGGAGGGTCTCAAACGCCCTCTGCTGCTCAGGGCCCCACCGGAAATCCACCCCCTTCCTCGTCAGACGAGTGAGGGGTACCGCAATCTTGGAGAAGTTCTGTATGAATCTCCGATAGTACCCTGCCAATCCCAAAAAGCTCTTGATGTACGAGGGAGATTTCGGAACCTCCCAC